TACTTGAGTTAATGAGCTTAATTACATTCCACCACTGGCTATATGTTGGATATGTTTATGAGCTACGAGCACTTTCAACAAAGAGTGATGTTTCCTTCTCTGTTTGTTTCCTTTAAATAGCGTTCAGAGGCCTGCCATTGTAAAACTATCTAAAAATCTAAAGTAAGATTTCACAATATTAAGGCCAAGATTTGGGGAAAATCAGATTTAATAACCATCATTTGTGCAGCAGAGATGTTTCCTGTCTTGTTAATCATGTTATAATCCTTCAGATTTGTATGTTAAGGGGTTCCTGAGCCCGAGGCTGGGAACCACTGACACATGATATCTGGGTTTTGGAGTGCTGACAACATTACACTGTCTCAGTGAGTTCCTTTACACAAATGCGTATTTGGTACCTCAAATATAAATGCATGTGATCACCAATCAGCTAGATAACGTGTATGTGTATGTAATGCATTTGCTCTGATACAAACATTCTCATGTATTTTCTGAATCTATGTTTTATATTCTGGTTGCAAAGTGTGACAGCTGGCCAAATAAACAGCATGCCACAGCTGGATATCCGTAGACACAGCTGGCGGCGGTCAGATCATATATCATCACTGGTATTCACAGCCTCTACACGTCGAGCCGTCCACATACACACACTATACAACACAAAATGTTGACCAAAAATAACCTGCCAGTTCATTACAACACCTGCAGTGTGCTGACAGTCACAGTTACTGTCCTGGCTATATGAAAGTTTCTTCTCTTTGTTAACATAATGCGTTTGTCTTTCAAGACATTTCCAGTTTTAATATATTCTGTCTCTTTTCATTCTTCAGGCATCTAAAGCACTGTAATCTAATAAGTGGCTTTGTAATGTTTGTGTGGTTTATAAACAGAGAATATCAGTTATTAAAGGGGGGTTGTTGAAGTAGCAGTGTGCATTAATGTCTGCCACACTGTCATTTCTGATAGTAATAATCGTTTTTATCATCAACAAGGAAACAATCTCGATTAAGTCTATAAAATGTCACAAACTAGTGACAAAGATATAAAACAGATGAAAGGAGCAAATCCTCATGTAATGAGAGGCAATATTAAGTTAATTTTCAGCATTTTCCTTTCCTTTCCATTAATGAATTAATTGATTAAATGATTGTTTCAGCCCCATTCGTATGGAAGTCCATTCCCGCCAATGTGATTAAAGAAAAAGTTCCTGTCAGTCATTAAGTTTTCACAAAATGACTTAGCATCATTTGTTATAATTGTAAGACGTAAAGTCAATATTTTGAGAAACCTTCTTATTATTTTGAGATACTAATGCTGAGTTCAGACTACACAACACTTTTGTCTGTTCCGACAGTCACTATGTCAGATTAGGTGACTGTAGAGTCATAAAATCGTGCCATGACTTGGCCGACAGACATGACACACTACACGATTGTCCACACCAATCATCGCTGGTTGTCTTTCATGATGTGCATGATGTCATCGGGTTGTCCTCGTTCTATTTTTCTTATTATTGCTACTATTTTAGTCACTGTGTCCGTTCATATCCCAGCCGAAATGTTGTTGTAGTAATGTAAAAAAGCGCCAGCAGATGGCAGGAGCTACATTTGAAGAACCGTACGCAAACATACAAGTCACTGAATCCTCCACAACAAGTTCCTGCAAATGTTTCACAATAAAAGCCTATTTAGAAAATGGAGGGATTCGCTCAGTCGAGGTTATAAGGTTTTAATTTGAAACAGATACAGGAAGTGTTAAGTTTGAAATGACGGCGCAATACATTAACTTTATCAAGGCAAACGGGAGCGGATTAAAAGTAAAAATATAAAGATACAGAGGGATTAATAAATAACGGCCCATTTCTAATGTAGTCTGTTTCAAATAAAGCCGATAGCCTCTGCAGCCGCAGTGAGTAAAAGCCCCACCACTATTTTTAAAATTTTATTACTTCATGTCCGTCTCCATTATAAAGAAGTTACATACTTTGCTAGCTTGATGCTAATGACAGTACTCAGCGGGTTGACAAAGTGCTTCTGCTGTTTCACACCATAATTTTTCCCTATTTACTCTGTTGTGGTAACGTCCCTGGAGGAAATATTAAAAAGGCCGGGGTGTTGTTGTCGTATAGTTGTCTATGGCAGCAGCTAACTCTGTGTTCCTATTGGTCAAAATGACGGCTGTGACGGGAGCAGTCGTGAACAACAAAAAGAAAATCAAACATACTAGACTTTCTGTCAGGATGTCGTGAGGCGTGACGTCGGTTGTCGTCAACTCTGACATATTACGCGAAATGAAATGATGGATTATCGCATACGACACTCACTGGGTTCACGATCCTGACACGATATGACACTGCATCGGGCTATAATCGGGCTGATATCATGTAGTTTGAAGCCGGCATAGGTCATTATGTCGAGAGAGTTTCTCATAATGTTACCACACTATGTCATTATTTTGAGTTACTAAGTCATTACTTTTTTTATCACTACGGTAAGTCATTATTTGCATTAAGGTGTTTTTTTTTATCATTTTGCAATACAAAGTCATTATTTTGAGATACTAAGACATTATTTCGAGAAAGTTTGTTATAATGGCTTGTACAATCTTTTTTTGATCACACTGGCAGAAATAAGCTTCCATAAAATTGGTATTCGATATTCAGTTGTTGTTTTTTTTGTTTTGTTTTGTTTTTTATTTATTTTTTTTAACATATTTTTTTTGGTGCTAAATGTAGTCTTTTTGTTGTTGGTAAATGTAGGTTATCAATAAAAATCAAAACTTTTAAATTGCATTGTTAAAAATGTGAAAATATAGTATAGCCTACTGAGCCTGTGCGCACAGCACGCTTGAGCGCATCCATCTGAGGCTGTGGATCAATGCCAAGTTTTACCACTTTATCACTATTCCCTCTAACTTGTAGCTGTTTTTTCGTTATCTTTTGAATTTAATATGAATTATGGAACCGTTTTTGTCAACGTTTGTTTCGCCCGTTTTGTACAATAAATTATTGTTTAAAGTTTCAACAAGTTTCTTTTGGAGTTCGTGACACAAGTGTGTTTTGAAAACGACCGCGGACTGTCACCTGCTCAACGCATCAGTACCTTCGGATGCCATGACAGTAATAGCCAGTAATGTCAAAATATCATTTACAGACCGATTTAACAGACGATCACTGCTGCCCGACCCACAGCGGGTTACGGGTCGACCCGCGCATCACTACTCAGCTCAGTCTATAAGGCTGTACACACAACAGTAAGGCTATAGACATTATATTCTATTTAGGCCGACAGAACCAGCAGCGCATTGGCTCTACAGTGCACGGCACTGCTGATGAACCATTTTATTGCAGCACAGAGTATCTGCCAGCAACCAATTACTTGCAGAGGCTTCCATACAACTTCTTTCAATGGTTCCGATTTAATCAGAAGACAAATTAAAAAGGATGACTAGCCAATGTGAAAATCAAAAGAAAGCATAGAATAATGTACTGAAAGAGACTGTTGTGCCATCACATTTTTTTGTGGTTTGAGAGCAAAGATCCGGTCGCCGCTGTGCAAATACAATTAGGTCTTACAACTTACAAGGGCTTACAACTGGTATCTTGAATAAGGCTGCATGCCGACCTCATCTTGTTGCCTCGTCGTTAAAGAGTTTGAGAACTGGCTGCTGTAGTGTTTAGAAAGTAACTTAAACTCTGAAAACACAAAACAAAGTGTAAACATAACTCTGCTGCTGTTTCATCACACTAAGTTGAGAAAAGATGTTTCTCTGCAAAGTTTCAGCATCAGTTGCAAAAAGAAATAATATTTGCTGGGGTACAAACTGACTTGCTGACAACAATAAAAGTGGGGCGGAAAGATGGTCCAGTGGGGAGAGGACTAGCTGACTGATAGGCCCTGAAATGGAGGGATGCAAGGAGGGCGTCTCGGAGACAAAGCCCCAGAGGCCTGCAAGAGGCAGATAGCTGCCTCCTCCTCCTCAGTCTCATCCCTCCATCTCTGTCTGGAGGAATGCAAATTCTTGTTATCTCCTCTCTAGAAGCGTCTGAGCCTGTCCATTCCTCCACACCGTCATCTCGTCTCTAAAGCCAACTCAACTTTGCCACTGATGGAGGATCAAGTGGGGAAAATTAGACAGTGACGATAATGATGATAAGAGACACGGCGGATTATTTCTTTATTATTCCAGTGGCAGTTAAACGCAGCACAACATCTCTGAAATAGTTGGGTAAGAGCAGGGCTTTAGTCTTTGATGTGATAATAGCTGGTTGGGGTGTTGTGGTTTTGCCGTCAAGACTCAAGTGGAAAATTGCTTTGCACACTCTGGCAAACACGTCTGCTGCGTCACGTGTCAAACATACACACACACATCTCCTGATACCCCCACCTCCTTATCCATGTCTATCAGGGTGTGCCAGGCCACTTGGCACAGGGACTCCTGTTTCCAGTCCAAACCCTTCGGTCTGGTTTCTCTTCCAGTTCAGTCTGGTGTGGGGTTGGTGGTGCTGAGTGTTGGGAGTGGTTTGTTTTCATATCCCCCAGTCTCTAGCAGACTATCCCGTGGAGGTGAGAGCTGTAAATGGTCTTGTATCAGGCTGACTGCTCGGCTGGCAGAGTGTCGGTGGTGGTTTTGTACTGTGGTTTGTGCCAGATGAGGCTTTTCAACTTCCCAGAGACAACATCTAAAGAAATAACTCATTGTTTGGTTCGTTTCTGTGCTCAGGGCTGAGATATCTTTGTACAGTAGCCACGCCACGCTCACTCACAGGTAAACCAAGTGCCAGGAACACATGCAGACACACTCTCCTTCTTCTCCATTTCATAAATGCAACGGTACTCCAGACTCATTTTTTATAAACCTTACCACATTCCCTCCCAAACCCAGCAGCAATAAAACACTGTCTGTGTACAATCTAATATGCCAAGCACATCGAGTATATCCAATAACAACACTAATAACTACTATTGAGAGAAAAGAGTCCAAGAACAGTGTTCACTTACCACCAGTCGCCACGGTGATTTCACGCAGGAAATGTCCATAAAAAGGGAAATCGAAGGACAGATTAACTCTCTGTGAAGGGAAAAACAGACAAATGACCCCGGTCAGAAAGATAGAGGCAAGAGGAGGATCACAGAAGAGACTGTTCTCATCTTAAAAACAACAAGAGGATTCAGATCAGAGGGAAAATGTGGAAGGAAAATACAGAGGTCTCTACTTTGTGGGGAAAACAGTGGCCATTTCTGAGGAGAAATATAAAAAAGAGATTTAAAAAAGAATGCGGTAAAAAAAAAAGACTTTAACAACATTTTAATACAAGAAAGAAAAAAACATATCCCTCCTATAAACGTCAGATTTGCAAGAAAGCAATAAAACTGAGTCTAATGGTAGTCATTGGTAAACACATATTTACATACAGAAGTCATTTTTTGCTTGAAAATTAAAAAAAAAAAAAAAGCCCTAAAGCTGTATTCACACAGGTCTCTAGCACTATCAGCGGACCTCATGCGATTTAGAAATTACTCCCCTACATCTTTGTTTTGAAATCTGTGCTTTACTCAAATTTACTGACGTTAAAAGATACGATGTGCCCAGTCATTTGTAACTCCACTCTACACAACACAGAAACCCTACACAGCACCACCAGCAGTGATGTACAGTGTTAACCTCCTTTTTCCTTTTAAATATGGGGTGGCATCAGCTCAGTCCATAGGCTTGGGTTGGGAACCGGAGGGCCGTTGGTCAAGTCCCCGCCCGCACCAAATATGTAGTGTGGACTGGCAGCTGGAGAGGTGCCAGTTTGCTTCCTGAGCACTGCCTGAGGTACTCTTAAGCAAGGCACTGAGCCCCTAACTACTCAGGGCGCCTGACCATGGTCAGCCCCCTCACTCTGACATCTCTCCGTTTAATGCATGTATAGGTCCTGTTTGTGCATATGTGTGTATTTTGGGCCTGTGTGTTTATGACAATAGAGCGAAAAATTTTAATTTCCCCTCAGGGATTAATAAAGTATATCTTCTTCTTCTTCTTTATCATCTTCTTCTCCTAAACAAACAGAACTGATTCTGCCACACACTGTCACATGTTCTCCATCTCATCATCTATCAAGACTTTGCTCTTCTGATTGACTGGAGCTTGCCTTTTCTGCAACAGCCTCCTGCACCCAAAATGCTGTCAGAACTTTGATTTATAATTGCCAAAGTAGCCTTCATAATTCTCTACCAGGAATGAGGCAGACATGAGGTGTGGAAAAAACAGAAAACCTAATTATGACCCAAAATCAATGAGGTGCCGATTGCACAAGACTAATAAACCCCGTTTCCACCGAGCAGTACGGTTCAGTTCAGCCAGTGGCGTATCTAGGACATTTTTACTGGGGTGGCCAAGATGGGACACAAAGCTAGTATGGGGTGGCCATGGCATAGCGAAGTATAATGCCATGTACGCAGCCAACCCCGGTTTGAATCCTGGCCGGAGGACCTTTGCTGCCTATGTCACATCCCCTCTCTCCCGTGATTTCCTGTCTCGTAACTGTCAAATAAAGGTGTCTATGCAGGTAAAAAAATATTTGAAAAAAGAGTCATTTTTTTTATTCCATTTCCACCTATCACAGTTCTCAGGAATCATTGATTGGCAGCATTTCTCTTGTTTCTTTTGTTGACGGACTTGACCAACTACCTATCAGATCTGGGGTGGCCACAGGGGTGGCCAATGAGTTTTCAGGGGTGGCCCCGGCCAACCCAGGCCACCCCTCAAAATCGCCCTTGAGTTCAGTTCACTTCAATACACATTTTTTTCCATTTCCACTGTAAAAAGTTGTGGATGGTACCAATGGAACCGTTCTCTACCATCCCCATTTTTGGTCACCCCTCTGTTGGGGTACCTAGCACACAGATCTGGTACTAAAAGGTGGAGCTGTGAACACTGCAGTGTGTTGATTGGTCAATAGCGGACGGCAACTCTTGCTCAGGGCTGAGTTGTGGCTGGTTTTATATAACCACTGTTCATACCGTGGTAAGTTTCATAGTTTCTATTATAACTATAGAAGTAAAGGATGTTTTGCTGCCTGTCGCAGCAGCTGTAGTCTGAGAAGAATAACTCAATTCACTGGGCCGACTGCCAGCACCTTTCAAGGTGGAACGTTTACTTGTAATGTTACCCAGAGCATGAGTTGACGATGTGAATCCATCAGCACACCTTAAATTTCACTGTGACAACTCTGACCATTGCTTTAGTTTTTATTGTCTCTCTTGGATGACAGACACTTTTAGTAATGAGTCGATCTTCAAGCATCTATATTAATTTCAACCGGATTATGTGAACTGTATATATTCTAATCCTCACTTGGAGAAAACAAAAGCATTGTGGAGTGTTGTTCCTGTGGGCTCTGGCCAGTTGAGCTTGTCTTAGAAGGACAAAATGCACAAACCTGCTATCTTCAGCATCCAACCCCCTTCTGTGGACGATAAACAAGGTGCAGACTTCCAACTATGAGGAAATACAGCGAGTGCTGGACGGAGCAGTGAGTGACAACAACCACACCCACATTTAAGGGTACTGCTTGCGGTGGAAACGGAAGGGTCTAGTTACAAATTACCACAGATCCTGAGGTAATAATAGTCAAAGCAAATAGAGCTTTTGTAAAGGTTATGTGTTGGTTTGTGGAGATTTTGTCTTTTAAAGTCAAAATTGTGACATTCAAGATTCAAATTAAGATATTTACTGAGGCAAAATTTTAAGATAGTGAGTCAAAGTTAAGAGATGTGTGTGTTTTGACTTACTATTGCATAATTCTAATTTACCATGAGTATTTGTAGTTTAAACCAAGTCAGCAATACGGTATTTAGGATATTCATGTTGTAATAACCTCTGCCTTAAGCTCTCTTTTTTAACCCTTGACACGACCATGTCCATGTCTGTCATTTTTCATGTGAAAAACTGAATGCCAAAATACAACTGCCTTCATGGAGAGACTGTCTGAAAATGTGTGCTGTTATCCCAATATTTAAATAATATTGCATCTCCCCCCTCCGTGTGAAGGCCAGCTTTTCCCCAGTGTGCTGGTTTAAAAAAACTTGGCCAGACAAATTGGTTCTGTCTGAATATAACCTGACCCTTCTCGCCTTTTAAAGCTTCGCCTTTTATAAGATATGTTTTATAAGGTATGTTCTAATTCTTTCATATATCATTTACTAATTCCTAAAATCTCAGACTAAGTATCTCAGAATTTTTATGTACTTTCTACGATTAGTATCATCTCTAACTTTTCATCTGTTCTTTTTTCTTCCTCTGACAGAAATGGGCTTCCATACGATTTTACAAATCTGTTTACGGGAATTAACACAAAATAAAAAGAGCTTCAAGAAACTATAATATCATCAAATGACTCTTGGACCAAATGAACAACAAACTTCCCAAGCATATTACCACAAATGATGGTTTATGCATTTAATCCCTGATCTGAATATGCTACAGTCACACTGCCAGAAAATGTTATGGATATAGACAGTCCACAGTAAACATGCAGCTATTATACATGATCCTAGATTATGGCAGGAGGAGTCATCCTGTGGCAAACCGCGCTGGATCTCACAGACTATATAGCCAATCCAGAGCTTAACTTTCCTACAATCCTGTGATGCAGTTGACCTCTGCGGCTGTGTTTTGTTTTACGACCTCATTGGCCAATTCCTTTTCAGTGTCGAGGGCCAAAGCGCTGGCAGGCGGCAGTGCCAGGAGGGAACGTGGAAGTTTTCTCCAATCCTGTTCCAGCACTCAGTTTTATGCAGTTTCTCAGGACTTTAACTGCCATAATAATAAACTCTATTTGTCTAAAATGTTAGTGTGCTGACACGGTGGCTGCATTTCAGCACAGATGGTTTTCACTTCTTCTTGCGCTGCAATTTCACAATGAAATCATGCAAGCAAGATTTCCATATCTCCCTTTTGACTCTGCATAGTTCTGCTGGCCATTAAATTAGGAAATTCACTTATTGATTTTTTTAAGCCAAAGTCAGAGAAACCTCCCACATCCCCTCCTGTACTGTTCAGAAGAAAAGCCTCGGCTCTTAGCTGGGTCGTTCTGTGGCTGCAAACAATAGCTTGCTTCAGATAGTTTGGTTCAATCCATCATTACATGACTGAAGGTAGAGGAGCAGAATGCACAATGTGGGACTCTATTCTATCTTCTCGCCAGCTATTGTTCACCCTGAGTGCTTTTTCTTTTTTTTACAGACTGTGGCTTCCCTGCTGCCATGCTGCTCTGTTTCTCCAGTCAGTCTGCTGCTGCCTTGTGTGACCTCATCAGTATGCACCTCACATGGGTCACCTGCTAGTGCAGAGGTGGAAGGAGGGGAGCTTTTAAAACTTTACTGCAGAGGAGATTTTTAACAGTTTTAATGCATAAAGGACTAATTTACCTCTTTCTTTAATGATACAGGAAACAAATATACTGATGGATGGTGTCTTTGAGGTGACATATGCAAATGTAATTACTGTAATATTTTAGCATTTAGCAAGTCTGTCCAATAGTCTACTGTCACATACACACATGTATCACATACAGTACACAGAAACACTGAGTTCCTCTTCTTTGTGTTGTTGGCATTGATTTTATCTTTCTGTGTATCTTTGGGCTAACAGGCTTGTAGGCACCAGTAGCTGATATGATTGGCGTCATGGTGTGTGTGTTTGCGAGAGGATTACATCTTAAAATGCAGACTGGTGTTGAAAGAAACAGTTGAAACAACCCAAGCTTGCTGATGCTGTGTCACTTAGCACCTGAGCTGCAGTTAAACTGGAACTTCCAGTCGCTCCAAACAGCCAAGTGATTTCTATGCAACTACACAACAGCTAAATTACATTTATGATGAAACTTATAACTTATAAGCAGGAATGCCCTCTAGTAGTGCTGTTCATAAACAATCTGCAGCATGTTCAAGTAAACCTCAGACACATTAACCTCTGGTAGCGTTCAGGTGATTTTTAAAGGGGGTTTAAGAGACCACAGATGTCTTAAAGAAGACCTATCATTATTATTATTATGCTCATTTTAAGGTTCATACTTGTTATTTGGGTTTCCTCACTTTCCTTAAACTGTGTGTGCTGGAACACCTGTATTCACCATCTGTCTGAGACGCTCCGTTGTAGCGCCCCCGTCTCTTGAAAAAGCCTAGTCTGCACTGACTGGCCAGCGTTTCTGGGTTCCCTGTTTCTGAGCAACTCTGCAGTGTCATTGCAGCCGAATAATGACTGTAATGGACAATAGCAGCACTTTCTACATTAAAAAAATATCAAATAAAAGCTTTTAAACCCAAATCTTCATGACTGGACATGTTCCATCAGGAATATGAGCCGAAATCAGCAACTAAGACTCCCTGACGTTAGCATGTAGCTACATGTAGCAGTGAAGGCTGCGTAATGTAAGCACTTGCAGTAGTGTGCCTGGAGCAGATGACCATATAAAGGAATCCATAATTAGCTGATCTCAGATTGTCTCTTAATTAGAAAAAAAAAACACTTTAAAACAGAGTAGATATGTTGCAATATACTGGTATTGATGATAAATGTGACTATGAAAAAATGAAATATGGATATCATTTTAATAATACACATATGGTAATATCATGTAAATAATTTGGTGGCTCTCAAATCATTCCCGTTTCTTTCTGTTCCTGCCTTGTCTCCCTCCTCCAACACCATCTGGTTGCCTTTTCACCATCCATTAAGTGTAATTGCTCTTATTGTACAATTTTGCACAGTTGTGGTGACAGACTCTTTGTCTCCCTACACCTCCCTACACTTGTATTTTTAGTGAAACTGATTTGCCAAAAAAAAGTGACAAAACACAATGGACACAGTTGGAGATAAATTTGACAGATGGTACTTTTTTTTTTTTGGAGATATCCCAATAATGTCGCCAATGTGAACTCTTTTGGCCACAATAATTATGTAGTGTTAATCTGACATTGTGCCAGCCTTAAAACAGAGTATTCAGAACAGTCAGAGGCCGGGGTTCCTGCTCACATCGATTATTTTTGCATACATTTACATTATTATTTGGAACTATGGTCACATTTAATATGAACATCTGATATTGTAACATTATATATATATGTATATATATATATATATATATGACAATAAATATTAATAATAGGGATAATAGGTCCTTTTTAATAGAGCTGCAAGGATTTGTCTACTTATCAATTTGTCAGTTGCCAAAGAATTCATCGGATACTATTTCAATGATCAATTAAAGATTTTTGGGGGGCTTTTAGCCTTTAATGCATACGACAGTGAAATGTGAAAGGGGGGGGTGGGGGGGAGGGGGGGTGACAAGCAGCAAAGGGCTGCAGGCTGGAATTGAACCTGGCTGCTGGAGCAAGGAATAAGCCTTTGTTCATGGGACACCTGCTACAGTATATCCACTAAGCCACCAATGCCCCTTCAATGATCAATTAATTATTAAACCAAATTTTTAAGCAAATAAAAAAATGTCTGGTCCCTGCTTCTCTTTTCCATGAGGATCATTGTAAACTTAATTTCTTCGGGTTTTGGACTGTTGGTTTGACAAAACGAGACATGTCAAGACAACATCTTGGACTTTTATTTTTACGGACCAACTGATTAATCGGCAAAATAATCCCCTGGGTAATTCATAATGAAAACAGTAATTTGTTGCAGCCTTAGTTGACAACATTTTGACATCCTATGCCCAGTTCAGACCAAAGATTTATGGCGAGAAAAGCCGAAACAGGTAACTACTTGCAATGTGCCATTCTGCAATGCTCTTAAAACCTGTTCTGATTTCCAGCTTTTCAGGCTGATTTTGTGGCTGAATATGATTTGTAGCTCCCTAAAATATGAGCAAGGATAGTGACGGTGAAATACTGGCTACAGTTGCATTTGTAGTCGTGATAAAACGGTGAAAACAGAAACATAACGAGCATCAGATGGACTGCATTCCTAATAAATACACAACAATAATATAAATAACCAGCGCCAATTAATTAGTCAATGAGAATGTGTGTGTGGGAGGGCATAAGCATGTAGAGCGAGCAGCAGCAGCGACCCACCATCCGACACCAGCACACCATGAGGACGGAAACAGAGGGCTTCACTTCAGCGGAATCCACTACAAGCCAATTGGTTGTAGAAACAGGTGATGTGCTTTATGTTCTAAAACCAGCCGCCAATGATTTGACCAGCAGAGTTGAAGGTGACACCATCAGTCGGCTTGAGTCAAGCTCAGACCGACTAGTTCACACTGCTACAACTTTTCTCTGCAACGTTTCTAAATGGTTTTGTCTCATCGTGAATCTTTGGTCTGAACTGGGCTTCAAAGTGCAGCTAATGACAATAAGCGACAGCCCCTCAGGTTGGGGTACATCTGAATGTCTTTTTTCTTACAGATAAATGTTAACGATTGGCTAAACATCCACAAAAAAGCATCACCTTACACTTGCCAAGACACCAAATCCAAACCAAAGTCACCAGGTTAAATGCTACTTCTAAATTCTCCTCTCACACCTTCTGTTGACTTACCGCTGCTTGTCTGTGTGTGTTGGACAGAATCCCGTGGATCTTCACTTTGTCCTTGTCCATCTGGTCGATATCTACCCACAAGTCTTTGCTCATCGGATCTGACGGGTTGTATGTTTTCGATGTGTAGTAGTTGTGATCTGTGTCCTCCTGTAGAAGTGACAAAACAAAATGTATCCTGTGAGTTTACATCCATATAAAGACTGTGAAGAAGCCCAGCGCAACAAAAGTTATTAAGTGGAATGTAATACAGCTTGAAGGAGAGAGTAGATATTGCTGCGTTGCTCAGTGAATTAAGCCGCTGGAGTCTGTGCTGGTATTATTCTGCCTACAGCCAAGAGAATATATGAACACATCAAATTCAAAGCAATCTAATAGACGGTGAGCTATTTTTAAAAACATTTCAAACCTCTACACAAACAGAAAACATATACAAATGGAAAATCAACAACGTGGAGTATTTTTAATTTCACTGCAGAACAAATAATCTGCTAAATTAGATTATATGATGCAATCACTTCCAATATGCGTGCACTCTCTCCGTGCCTTCATTCAACTATTTTCATTAGAGCACAATCAGCACGCAAAGAAGTTTTAATATCTACTAATCAAATTAAAGAAAACCAAGAGGCCAATCAACTTCTTCCACTCTTAAAACCAGACTGCACAGTCAGGACTGCCTTTTATAAGAGAAACATTTGTGGACTTTTATAAGCCATGTGGGAGCTGCTTTTATTGTTTCCTGTACAGAATTAGGAAGAATGCTCATGTCGCGGGCTTCCTATTGCTCGTCTCTCTCTCCTTGTGGGTCTAATGAGATACCTTACAGCTGTGCCTTTTATCTAAAACATTGTTAAAGCTAATGTTTTGTTGGGTAGGGAGACAGGGAAGTGTATACTGTGATCTCACTAATAGGAACTCACACAGCTCTGTGCAAACTTTGATATAGGGGTGGTATTATTTTGAGCTACAGCGCTTTGGTTGTCAAAAGGCCATGAGACAAACATTAATTAAAGCACAGTTCTTCTCTGTTCGGTTCGTTTTGCTTCAAGGATTCAGATTTCCCTTGGAGAGTTATAATCTAATACCTCTGCACAATATTCAGCCCCCAATATTAGACAGAGAGATAATGTTTCAGGCTTAGCGAAGCCTCGGTGGAATTGGTAAATATCAAAATTCCAAATGGAGTTCAGCCATGTAGGTGGTGTTACTTTTGATCAATTTGTAGATTTAAACAAACACTGCAAGAATCCCTTCATCGCAGCTTAAAGTGCAGACAAATCGTGTCAGGGAAAAAGCCCCCTCCAGGCAGCCTTAGTCAGCACATTACTTTCAGAATAGAAAACAAGGGCACTTGTAAAAGAGCAGACACAAATGCACAGCTGTAAAGTTCCCTGCTAATCAGCACAAGATGTTTTCTGGTCTTGTGGAGAAAGATCGAGGGAGACGGAGGCTCCTCGGAGGTGAGAGGGGCCAGTGAAAGGGGGAAGGTGGACAGGGTGGCCATCGTCCAGCTGGGTGTAGGTGGACATGAAGCTGTGAGCAAACAGAGTACGGGGTGCCTGACCGGAGAGACCGTCTCACACATACAAAAATACACAATTATAAAGAGAGCTTTGGTGGGAGGCTGTGGGAGGAAGGTACTGTCTGTTTCTTTAAATCATGCACTGGAAACTTGCTCAGTGAGTGAAGTGTGGTGCTCGATGCTGATGTGTGAAAATATAAACATGGTGTATGAAATGTTGCTACCAGCTCTGTTTTGAACAGACTTAGCACTGTGGGCCGCAATCCAATAAACATTTAGAGAATAGAAATCTCCACCCAAATAGATTTACAAAACATGGAATCATTATAATAGATTACAAATTAAATAAAAATTCAACTCAGATTTGTTCAGCTAGCAACATTCAGTCTGATTATCAGGCTAACACAGAGCCATACTCACACATATGTTCCATATGATGACTGTAGGAATTTAATATAAGTATAAAGTGTATTTTTTGCAGAAGGGAACTTATTACTATACTGACATGTATGAATTCAGTGAGAAACATACTGCCTTCACTTGCAGACTGTTTTTACAGAGGAGTATAGAGGACTGATGCAAAGCTTCATCACACGGTGTAACAACATTCACCTGAAGCTCAGTATCAGAAAGACCAGTGACTTCATGGTTCACCGCCAGAGAAACAGGCAAGAACACAAAATTGTAGCCGTGACAGCAGACAATGCTTCACATTTGAATGTTGCTGCAAAGAACCTACAAATTCTTGGCAATAGACATTTGTGTGACATTTTGTCATAATTAGCACATTAATTCTTGAGTGAACACCTGATTTGTAAGGTCACTGTGACCTTGACATCCATGCCAAATTTGAAAAAAATCCTTCCAGGCGTCCTGAGATATCACATTCATGAGAATGGAACCAATGGACTGAAAACCCGAAAACATATTGCCTTTGGCCATTGCTGTGGTGCAAAGGCATAAAAACCTGAACAGAAAAATTACTACCAACATTTTATAAATGTAAAATGTTCTGTGCACAAATCATCCACAGAAGGACAGAGCAGAGTATTTTTTAACATATTTATTAGAAGCTATGAAATGATGGTGATATATATTCCTGTTTTCACACAGTACCTGAGCTGAACCTCCGCATTCAGCTTGTTTTGATCTGGTGTAGGTCTGAATGCTGAGGTTCAGCTAAGGTGGCTGAGACAGGTAAAGACTTAAGCTTGAATCTAAGTGAGGACAGTTATTGCATCCCTCCTCTCTCTCCCTTAATTTCCTGTCACCTCTACAGTGTCACCCATCAAAGAGGGAAAAAAATCACCATCTTTTACATTTCCCCCCAAAAAAATCATTGGTATTTGTTGCCCTCTGTCCATTTGGGGCAGTGACACCATGACTACACTGTCTTGTTAATGTACACTAGAAAAGTTATCTACAATGTATTTCAAATACACTGCTCAAAAAAAATAAGATAACACTTAATGTGCACAGTAAAACATCAAGTCAGTTAAACTTCAGGAATATCAATCTGTCCATTTAAGTTTAAGTTTATTCACTTTATTAATCCCTCTGAGGGGAAATTCAATGTTTTCACTCTTGCTTGTCAATTACACACAGGTCTGAAAGACACACACATGCACAAACAGGACCTATACATGCACAAAGTGGAGAGATCTCAGAGTGAGGGGGCTGCCCTTTGGTCAGGCGCCCTGAGCGGTTGGGGGGTTCGGTGCCTTGCTCAAGGGCACCTCGGCAGTGCCCAGGAGGTGAACTGGCACCTCTCCAGCATATTTTGGTCCGGACGGGGACTCGAACAGGCGACCCTCCGGTTCCCAACCCAAGTCCCTATGGACTGAGCTACTGCTGGAAGCACAAGTGATTGTGAATCAGTTTCACCTGCTTTGGTGAAACTGAAAGTGACAACAGGTACGTATAATGGAGAGGCAAAAGCAAGACAACCCTCAAAAAGGGAATGGTTTTACATGTGGTGGCCGCAGCCCAATCAGGTTACATAGGTAGTCCAGCTCCTCCAGGATGGCACATCCATAAGTGTGGTTTCCACAAGGTTTGCTGAGTCTCCCAGCACAGTCTCAAGAGCATGGAAGAGACGCTAGGAGACCGGCCATTACACGAGGGGAGCTGGACAGGGCCGTAGAAGGGCATCAACCTAGCAGAAGGACCGATATCTGCTCCTTTGTGAGAGGAGGAACAGGAGGAGCACAGCCAGAGTCCTACCTCCAGCAGCTACTGGTGTGCATGTTTCTGACCAAACTGTCAGAAACAGACTCCATGAGGGTGGCATGAGGGCCGGACGTCCTCTAGTGGGACCTGTGCTCACAGCCCAGCACCATGCAGCTTTATTGGCATTTGCCAGAGGACACCAGAACTGGCAGGTCCGTGATTCACACCCCATTCAAGATGAGAGCAGGTTCACACTGAGCACATATGACAGGTATGAAAGAGTCTGGAGCTGCCGTGGTGAACATTATGCTGCCTTTAACATCATCCAGCATGACCAGTTTGGCGGTGGGTCAGTGATGGGCTGGGAAGGCATACCCTTGGAGGGTCACACAGGCCTCCATGTCATAGCCAGCAGTACCCTGATTGTTGTTAGGTACTGGGAGGAAATCCTCAGAGCAACTGTCAGACCTTACACTGGTGCCGGACAATGCCCAGTCTCATGTGGCCAGAGTGTGTTCCTGGATGACAAAGGCACTGATGCCATTGACTGGTCCTCTCTTTCCTCTGACCTAAATCCAACTGTGCATCTATGGGACGTTATGTATCGGTGCATCTGATGCCACCAAGTACTACCACAGACTGTCCAAGGAGCTCACTGATGCCCTAATCCAGGTCCAGGGAGGAGATCCCCCAGGACACCATCCGCCGACTCATCAAGAGCATGTCCAGACGTTGTCATGCAATTTAAATATATCTGGAGCAGAAAAACAATAAAATTGATAGTTCTAGTATATGTTTGGGCTACATTAGAAATCAACATTTGCCCTCCTAAAGACTTGCACAGAAATTTCAAATGCACTGCTAATGCAAAACCATCCATTTGACACCAATTTAATGAAAACCCAGCCACTTTCTATATATTGTGCAAGCATTTTAGATACAAACTGTAATGTAAAAGTATAAGGCGATGCACACACACACACACACACACACACACACACACACACACACACACACACACACAACTCAAGTGGGCTGAGTTCCAATTGACCCTCAGAGACACGACAGAAGTGGAGACGAGCCTGAGCTACACTGAAAAGCTCAATGGGGGCTAATGGAAGATAGATGGCCACATGATGAACAATGAGAGGAGAGGAGAGGAGAGGAGAGGACTGTGACCTCGCAACTCAGGCTCAGTCGGTAACTCCTGTCCCATTTTTGATCTGTCCATCATAAACTAAAACTAGATAGAGATGGAAAAAAAATGTAGCCAACAATGGTACATTTTCTGTCTCTAGAGCAGAAAAACAAATGGTAGAAAAGATTCAATCACTAAGACTCACTCCCATCTCAGTCTGAGGCTTTTACTCAAGCTGCCCACCACATCAATATTGCATTATAGTGAGACCTGAATATCTTGTTTTCACTTCTGAATGGCTCCTTAACACAGGGGAGA